CTCTTTCGGGATTTTTAAATAAATTTAATAAAAAATAATAATAATAGTAATAAAAATTCCGATTTTTACATAACAAAATATCGATACTTTGTTTGGTTATTTTACATAAAATAAAATCTTAAAATGATATATTTTTATTTTTATTTTTAAATCTTTTTATCTAAAAGCATTTTTCTTTGTATATTTTTTTTTATATAATTTTGAAAATTGGCAGCATCAAGTATTTGAATTAATTTTTATTTTTGTATTAAACTTATTTAAAGTTATAAAAGTAAATACTGATTTAATTTTTTAAAGTCATTTTATATATATTTTATTCATAAATATATATATTAAAGATTACTCGTTAGATCATTCTACATGTAGTAAATTTCAATTTGCAATTTTAAAATATTTTTTTCTTCATTTTAAATGCATGAAAATCTAAAAAATTTAGTTAAATGTTCTAGCTTTATTCAAATTTAACACACTCTTTTTCTTAATAGAAAATCTAGTGACGTTTTTCTCTAAAAGACTTTTTTTTATGATGAATTAAAAACTGAAAAAGTTAAATAGATAAAACTAAAAACGAATAAATTCGTCATACGTGTGTATGATTTTATGCTGATATTACATATATACAACATTCATAAATGGGATATTTGAGAAAATAAAGATTTGTAGATACCAATAACTTTAATTTTCAACTATAAAATATGAGTAAGTGTACCATTAAAAAAGAGCATTTATCTAGGAAATAAATATAAAAAAATGAACAATCACTTTAAGTTTTGCTCATTACCAAAAAAAAAAACAGAAAAATTTATTTTTGTTTTTTTTTCTAAAAAGTTTCATTTTATTAAAACGAAAAAATAAAATAACTTCTTTCTAAATTACCTAAATAAAGTAAAAATGATACCTGAAAGATACCTTTGAAGAGTAAAGTGAATTCCCTTGATGATAATTCTTTTCGACAAGATCTTTTGAGTATAACGATTCTAAACCGTTATTCCATTCAGCAATAGTGCTTTTCAACTGACATTCAATAGAAAAGCCGTAAAAGAGTAGAACGTTTAAAGCATGTTGTCTAAAGACATACTGTCTGATACAGTACGTTATGATTTCTTTGCTCCATTGAAAGATTCCGATCTGAGTCAGATAGAATTAGTTTCAACCAAGCTGCCATAAAAGATTTCATTTATCGAGTAAAACGTGAGTAAAATTTCTTAAATTCGTTTACGACGTAGGAGAAAATAATAATAATAACACACGTTTTAGTACAGAGGTTTTTAATTTAAACATTTTTTTTCCTTCGATACAGTTAACAAAAAACAAAAAAAAATAAACAAAAAAATAAAAAATGACTTCGATCACCTACAAAATGATAAAATTAGGATTTTCGGATGAGCGAAGAGAAAATAAAACAAAGGCCCCATAGCACTCGAAAGCATCGAAGAATTGAACTAACTATGTAATGAAATCGTTGAATAGTTCTGTACTAGCCAAGTAATTAGGCTAGGAGTTGCTTGCCCACATAAAAACACCAACAACGCTAAAAGGTCCACTTTTAGATTTTAGTTTTCGAGGCAGGAAGGATGCGAATTGACTTTTGGTGATATGAGACTCAGTTTCCCCAGCTTGCTGGTTGCTATAGTAGAGCCGTGAGACAAATTCAGTCTGCTGTTATCGTGTCGTTTCGTGAGCCACTAGCGTCAGTAATTAGAGCGACGAAACACAGTCAATCAATAGTCCCACCAATTCCAGTTGTGTTTACAGTAGCACTGCCTGGACAGCAAACTGATTGACTTCGCTTATGAGAAGTCTTGTACAGAATAACCGTGCTTGATTGTTATTTTCCGAATGGCACAAATTAATAACTAATATATACATATATATATATATATATAAATAATTGGAGGAGATTTTTTTGATTTATCATCACAGAAAATCAGTAAAAAATGAAACTTTTTTTTCCTTTTTTTTATATTATAATAGGAATGTTGTATATGTTGATCTGGAGGAATTTTATGCACTCTGAAGATCAACAGACACTTTAATATACATTTATACTTGAAACAGACGCAACTACAGCAATCGTTTTAAATGGCTTGAGTGGTTTTTTGTGGTCACGATTTAGGTATTTTCCAAGTCTTGTATCTGGCGACGTTCTCGATAAATTCACAAATGTACAGTGATAAGGATGAGGCACCGCAGGACTCTTGTGGTTGTCGCCTTGACTTCTCGCCAAATAATTCTTTCCTCTGGTTTGTGAAGCAGATGGCTGAATCACACGGGCGTCGATAGAACTCCTACTTCTTTATACGCATCACCCCAATGCTGTTTTATAGGAAAACATAAACCATTAAAATATAGTAAAGTAACTAGTTATTAAAGGTATTTTACATATCAGAGCTTTTATCATAATCATTTTTATAAGGTAGACAACGTTATAAAATATGATCATTTTACTGTTCAAATATAAATTTCTTAGTGTCTTGCACGGTTTTTTAATTATAAATATTGTTAAAACTTTTCAAATAATTAAAATTTATTAATAAAAATTCCTTTAAAAAATCCTACTTAAAAATATTGCAAAGTACTTTGTTCTTATAATGAAATAACTTTATGGCTTAAAATTCAAATTAAAAAAAATAATAATGAAAATGCTAAAATCTTATGATCTTTTGCTGCTTCGAGCTTGTATTTTAAGTCATTTTTTCAGCTTTTATTAATTAAAACAGTTAAAATTGAAAAGTTTATATAGCCAAGAGCAAGAATTTTTATTAACAAATATTTAATTTTAGCACAGTCTGCAAATTTTTTTAAAGCTCTGACAGCTTGTTTAAGCTATATTTTTGTATCAAAGTAGAAGAATACATCCCAACAGTATATTATCTATTAAAAATGAATTTAGTGGATTAATTGTTTCAAAAACGTCAAGAGAATCTTAGTCCATTGGGCATCATCCAAGCTCAGACAATACGATATATTTTCTTGTTTAATGATCCAAAATTTAATAATCACCAGTAGTGATATTGATTTTCATCTTTAGAATCGATAGGCTGTTGTAATTACATACCGTGACTCCGAGTTGTACATCGTTGATTAGAGGAGTTTCTACAGTAATCCCACATTCTTCCATCTCTCCTTCTGTTTCTTGTAACATGCGTAATTTTCGAGGAGTCTGTAAAAACATCACCTTCACTAAGTAACCTACTCAATGACTATTGACATTACCAATTACAATCTAAATATATCAAGTCTCAAGAGTTAACCAAATTAAATTCGTCACGTTATTAAATTAAAATTATAATTAAACATTTATCTTTCTAATTTCTTTATTAAAGAATCACATTATCCTTTTTCTTTCTCTTTAAAAATATATTTATAACATAATTAAAAATAATTGTAACATTCTTTATTATTTTTTTTCTTCATTTTTCCCCCTCTCTCCTCGATAACACATATCCTCTGAGGAAAGTTCAGTGTGACTCAGAAGACTAATGCGTGATCAATATATCGAACCAATAGTTTGGTAGTGGGCTAATAACGACGTTAGTGAATGACCTATTTAGAACGAATTTACTAAAGTATAACCTTCTTACTCCATTCTATACATGTTCTGTAATGACGTATGAATGTAAACTTACCGATAGAACTATCTCTGGTTCCTCCCCGTATTGAATTGTTTGATATTTATCGTACTTAGCTGGTGGTGGTTCACCTTTTGTCATCTTTGGGCTCGCATCTGCATCACTGATTGAATCTCTTGTAGTGATTTCGGATCTTTCTGAAAATAATAAAAAAATGCACGCAAACCTATCAGTACAAAGAAACATGTGTACAATTTCTTTATTTTTTTTTATGTTTACTCGACTACTGGATGTGGAAATATTTATGTCTACTGGGACATTTGCCAACGTCTCTGAGTGATTGAGACAAATAAAGAGAAAGGAAATTGAAGTCTGTAGTCCTCTATAAGCAATAAGAATCTACTATAGATTAAGCTTCACTAGTCAGTGGTTGATTTTAAAAATTGTTTTGAAGATTTTTTTATATTTTTATTTTTTGATCTGATAATATTGATTTTTTACCTTCCAGTTACATACTTTTAACGATTTTTTTTCTTCTGCTTCCTAGAAAATTGCCTCTCGTACTTATTCTCGAATTTACTTTACTTTATTAAACTTCTACTAACAAATAAATTAACTTTAATTAAAAGTTAAAAATGAAGAAAAAATTAATCCATTCCCCGTAGAATATATTTTGATTTGCGATAATTACTGAATTGTTAACTGGAATAAATTCTAAATGCAAATTTACAACAATTGCGTTAACAAAACTTAAATTGTGTTACATTTAAAGCAGACTTTATTGAAATATATAATTTTTGAGGCTGTTAACAATTATTAATTTAGAGTAATTATAACGAATAAAGTTCATAATTAGTTAAAAGATAATCTAAAAAAATACAGAATTTGTTTGATATTAAAAAAAATTAATTTTAAACGCAGTTCATCCTTTGGGAAATGAAGAGAACTTAAAAGATGTTCTTAACAAAGAATTTAAAAAAAAATGTAATTTACTTATAAATACACAAGTAAAATAATTACAGAAAACAAAGAGATTGGCTTTATGCTGTTGAGAATGAAATCCCCAAAGGACTAAGTAGAGATCCATTCTTAATCCATTCACCATTGTGTAATTTGTCACTGTATTTAATTTTGCTATTCTTAACCGTATAATTCTTCTTGTTTTAGAAGTTATTTTAATTTTAATTTTATCATTAATTCTTATTTTTATTCTTTATTCTTTATAAATTTTATAAATTCAATTAAAATTTTCAAATTTTTATCTAATAAAAAACACATTATTTCTTACTCTCCTCTACTCGCAAACAATAATTTTTTTCCTTCTTCTCTCAATCTATAAATGTTCGTTGTTTTGTTTCTCATTAAAATTTTCTGTTAGTTTAATATGTTAGTGAAGTGTTACCGCCTCAGGATGTTGTACAATGTGAATGATATCGTTGTAAAAATTTCTTCGCGTATTCGTCTTTTGTTCATCGTGTATCACTGGAAAACATGGAAGTTCTCTACCAAAAGTTAATAAATCTGTCGCTATAAATTATTTACGATATTCTCATTATCAGCAGTCTAGAGTTTAGTAGATTTTTAAATTTATGAGAAAAGAAACATGGCTGATTAAAGGGTATTGCGAAAGGATCATAAAATCGGTCGTAGTTAATAGTCCGTATATTCTTATTGCGTAGACTGAGAAATAAAATTTTTATAAGACATTGTATAGTCAATTGCTGAAGGAAATAATAAAAATCTTTGTCATAGAAAATTTCATTTACTTCGATATCGACTCGTCGATGAAGAAATTTGCAGACGTGCTTGTTTCACTTGTTAAAAATTGTGTTTATGCGACGAAACTTACGCCAAAGTATTATTTAAATTCGGCATACTCTTACTTTCGTATAGTAGCATGCTTTGTGTAAAATATACTAAATCCTGCTAGATAAAATATAGGAGGATGCTCGCAACAACGCTTAGTGAAGATTATGTTGCTACCATATGGACTCAAAGTTTAAAACTTTTTCAGAAACTGGCCATAAATTTTAGGAGCCACTGGTAAATAGGATGCTAAAAACTAACAGAAGCATCGCGGAATGTAATTCACTAAGAAAAAAAAAGAAGAAAAAACAGCGTAGAAAATGAGCAGTCAGAAATAATTGCGATAAGTCAATTAAGTAAAAGAATGGATGAAATTTATTTAAATAGGAGATTATAAAGTACTTTAAAAGTTTAAAGATAATCACCTTTTACTTAATAATTACGTGGAGAATAAATAAAGTTTTAACTATTAGTGCTCGTTTATCCGTGTACATATCCATAGCGTTATTTAACATATTGTATGTAAACAGTGTTTCCTAAACGGCCACTTTCAATTAGCTAACCCATTGTCTACCTGAAAGCACCATATACTCTCGCAATCGCAGACTTTACGACTAGTATGTGAATTTATGTTGTGCAAGACAAGTGGAGATCGTGTATACAAATTAACATATAGGATAATTACGTACTAGATGAATGTGATGTGCCCATCAAAATGAATAGCTTATTGCTGCTTAGATTAAATAGTTCGAGAGAAGATCGGGCTAAATTATTCTATTTTGGTTTCGAATATGAAATAAAGTTTCTCTCTCAAATGTCATTATTTAAGCTGATCCTACATCAATACTAAATCTCCTTTCACAGGAGAAATGATCTGAAGACCGGATACCATTAAACACAGATGATAGAATGTAAATATAAAATTCAATAGAATTCAGCCGTAAAACTGCTTTTTTTTTTAAAGAAAAGAAAAAAAAAGATGGAACTGGTAAACGAAACGACTTTTCTTTGTTTCATCTCGATCGTTTAGTACAATATATTGGAAAGAAAGTTTTAAGACAATAGCGGCATTAATTTAACTACAGCAATGTGCACTATATTGTAAATGTTAAGATCGGTACCTCTTTAGTGATATGTCAATGCACTTGACGGGAAACACTAGCTAATCCATGACAACAATGTCAACTAATATCGCCCTAGGGTATCGATTTTCTGCAAAACTATTCAAGATAGACCATACAAAATAACCTTCCGGTCTATGGAGATATCAAATTTCCATTCAAAACATCACTTCTAACTGAAAACAAGACATGGGATAGGCAGTTGTTTGCTTTACTTTTTCATATAAATCGATTACTTACTAAATTCTATCTCAAAGCCCATCTACTTTATTTTCTAGAAATTTTTCCATGCTGTTTTCTTTAAAAATATAACAGTTAACAAATAAATTAACTTTAATTAAAAGTTAAAAATGAANTAAATCCGAATAGAAATTTTAATTTAAAAAAAAATTAATTTGTATATAAAATATTAAATTAAATATGTAACCTATATATAAGTCATACATTTAATATTTTATAATATTGATAATTATCAAAGAAAATTTATTATCATTAAGAATATGATAATATCTTCAAAGTTAGTATAATAAATTATTATTTACTCAGACACTTTTTACTAGATTTAACTGTTTACGTATGAAAAAAACCTCAAAAGCATTTCACTGCACCAAGTTTGTTTACTTTACTGTTACAAGAACTTTCACTCACCTTGAAAATAATTCTTTTCTGGAATAATATCTGGTCCTTGACTTCCTGTTAATCGTGAGTCTTTACATTCTTTCATTAAATGTGTCTGTGATCTTAATAAAATCATTTAAAAATTAACATAAAAAACAATTATATTATCTCAATTTTTCCTATTAACTATAATATATACGTATATATACTTTTGTAAAAAGTTTGAAGAGTAAAACCTTTCATTTTTATTGACTTATAAGGAAAAAAAACTGAGTGAGAAAAGGTGTTCTTAGAGAAAAGCGATCATTAACAACCACTTCTTTCGAGTACATCTTTTTCTATTCCTTTAAAAACAAGCTTGGAAAGGAAATTACTGAATATTTTAATCGTTAAAATTAAGAGAGAGGGGAAAAAAAATAACATTTAAATTTAAGAAATCAGAAACTTACTTTAAAGAAAATAAAATATTCTAAGCCTTTCCATCTTAAATACGATCAATTTTTATTGGTAAGTTGATTTCAATTTAAACGTAATCTGCTTATCCATATTCAATTATGTATGTCTACTCATTTTCAGTAGAAAACAGTCATTAAATTGATCTCTAAACTTAAATTTTTCATTAAATTTTTTTTAAATGTTATATTTTAATCCATAAATCAATTAAATTTTTATTAGGCATATAGTTTTAAGTATAAATTAATTTAATTTAAAATTATTTTAATGTCTTTTTAAGTTTAGTAAGTAAAGCAGATTTAATACTCGAGTTTTAATAGTTTAAACATTCATTTTTTTAATTATCCTAATATAAATTATTTATTAAATAATGTATAGGAATGTGTTATAAGATACTTTATTTTTTATTCGCAGTTTAAAATATACTTTAAAAAATATATTAAAAAATTAAATTCAGATGAATTTCATTAAATTTATGTGTGTTTGCATTGAGTTTAATCGCCTTTTAATATAAAATTTTGAAATTTAAATTATGTAGCGTTAATATACAGGGTGGTCCAAAAGTCAGTTAACGTACAAGGTGGTCCAAAAGTCATTTAACTACTGTAAAGAGGGAATTATGATGTCATTGAAATATTTAAACGTATTTTTCATCATGTTTCCATTAATTACATAAAAGAAAAACGCCGAGAAACCTCAGTGTATACTTAAAAATAAAAAAAAAAAACAAAATACGGTTAACTGACTTTTGAACCACCCTGTATAATATACCTATATTAAATTACATACTACTATTTTCTAAGCAAAGAAAGAAAACTATCCAAAAGATTTTAAATTAAAATTTATGATAAACATAAAAATTGACTTTTTAAAAATAATTTAATTATCGTAAAATATCGTACAATATTTTAAAATTAAATATTTTTAATATATCAATAAATGTCAAATTTAATATCTAAACTTGCTATGTCTAAATAAAACTGGCAACAATATAAATTTATATATAAATATGTACAATTTATTATAAAAAAATAAATAAATTGATATTTAATTTTTTTAATAAATAATCAACAATAAATTTCAATGTTAATACATACTTTTCCAAGTCACCACGGTATGTTCTTCCTAAAATAAAAGCAGTAACAATATTAATTCAAAATTATTTTTTATAGTCGACGAACAAAGTGACATTTAATTAACATTAAAAAAAATTTTCTTGGAGCAGAAGAACGATTATCAACTCGACTGTTATCACCGAATATAAAATAGGTTATAAGGTGGATAATTAACTTTTGCATTCTAAGAAGTCAAAAGAGAAAATTGCCAAGGCATTTTTCACTTATATGACACTTTTCAATTGTAAGTAATGCAACATTAGAGGGTAATTATGTAACAAAATAACTCGATAACAACCGTAGACCGAGTCATTTCCTAACCACTTAGCATCATATCAGTTGATGCTAGAACATAATTTACTTCAGGAAAGTATATTTAGTGATTAATGATTTAAATCGTTATTCATATCAACTTAAGAGATTCTGATGAAAGGAATTGTTTATCAAGTTTAAAACCATAACTTTTAATTAACCACAATGACAACCTATGCAAGATAGAGATGGGAGGAATTTCATTTCAATACACTCTGCGTATTATTCTATTAATTGAATTTAATTGAAAATGTTTCCAGTTTATTATTTGCACGTTTATTATTTTCAACTCCTTGAAAGTATTAATATTAATAGATGGAAGAATTTGTAAATTGTATTATGTTTACTTGATAAATTTGATAACGTTAAAATATGTTAAAATAAGCGAATAAATTGTAATTTTATTTTAAAAAGAATTAAGTTTATAAGATTAAAAATATGAAAATTCCGTTAATAAACGAGTGTAAAATATTTTAAATATTATTTTTATTTAAGTTAAGTATTTTGATACACGTCTCGATTGATAAAGCGAAACGTTAGAATATAAAAGGAAAAAAATCCACCAAAAATCACGTTTCTAGAGCTTATAGAAACTAAGAAGAAACTAAGAAATCCAGGAAAATCTTCAGAGGATCAAAGTACAAAAGAAATTACAAAATAGACAAGGTATAAGAAATATATATATACAGAATATAAAAAATAAAATTTCTATTCATCAACTCTAAGTAAACTAAAAATACAGTGTATTATAAAAAATACTATAAAATAAAATAACAGTACAAAAGCAAAATAAGGAAAAAATAGAACAATATGAAAAACTCAAAGTCCAAAATAAATTACAAAGTAAATGAAAATCTAAAATAAATAAACAAACTTGCTAAGAAAATAAAAAGTAAAATAGCAAAATCCAATTTTAAAATATATATATAAAAATAAAATAAAATAAAATAAAAAATAAAACTTATCTAACATCTAATAAGGGAGTGTCAATTTTCCATTGAAAATCCTCCCAGCATCCCGTTGGCAGATCGCCCATGAACAGTTGCATTGTTCTCAACGCAACAGTTCATGGCGATGTGCATAAATTAAAACAAAAAAGGAAAATGACGATATGATATAGTACAGGGCTGCCCAGAGGGTAATTGGGCCTGGAAAAATACATATCGGCATCATACAACAAATTAATTATATTAAAGCAAGTAAATGAAAGAACATCATATAGAGGAATTTCGTTTAACGAGGAATTAGAGGCCCTATACAGGACAATTTGTTCCTTTTGTTCCTCTTCTGGGCGTCCCTGATAAACCACCTTCACCTTTGCAACTTACCTGTAATTGATTTTCAATACAGGGCGTATTGAGACAAAAGCCATACCTACACGCACGTGTGTTATAAGCGCAAGGAAAACCTTGAGGTTCGGGTATTAACGGACCACAATCTGCAGATTCACCACTACAAAGTCTCGCTTTTTGGCATTCGTTATTTGTAAATCCGCAAATACTTTTCTCGGATGCTGGAACAATTTGTCCATCTTCGGTANAAAAAATGTATATTTTTTTACATATGTACTGTACGTGTTAGGTATCGTCAGGTTAGTCAGTAAGAAAGATAAATAGGAATAAACTCACAATGAACCTTCAGAAACAAATCCTGACTGTTTCCTTTTCCTTCAACGTTTTCTGCTCGACATTGATAATATCCTTGATGTTCTTTCTCCACGGGAGATAGCAATAGGGTATGGTTCTTTATCACTACTCCTAATGATGGACTACTAAACAAAGACTTTCCGTTGAATCTCCAACTCACTTCTGATATGGGCGGATTAGCTTGGATATGGCATATCAATGTGACATCGCTTTTTTCAGTGACAGCTTCCATGTCTTTCCATAAATTATGTGACAAAGTAAGCTGAGGAGGATCTACGAAAGAAACGTTACCTGTAACCTTAAATTTCACATCATCTATAATATTCTCCCATATGATATACAAGACCCTCATTGAATTAATTAAAAAATCACCATTTAAAGAAAATATTTAAAGTAGAGCAATGGATTCATTTTCTACGTTAAATAATTAATTCTGTTAAGAGTTTCTGTATTTAAATTTAGATTAATTAAGATAATATTAAGAGAGAGAGAGAGAGAGAGAGAGAGAGAATATTATTTTTACATAACTGTGTAGGAAATTAATGAAAAACTGTATATTTTATAAGATAACAATAACATGTATACATACACACGTGTAAATTATTAATAAACAGATTAAAAATGGATAAAAGTAAACTATAGAATTATGATTTTTCGCTTCTTAAATCGCGTTAAAAAAAGGAAACAGTAAATAATTTAGAGCGTGAAAGGTGTAGCGTGCATTTTAAAATTCGTTTTTGCTCTTACCTGCTGTGCTTTGTTGAGAAAGTGTGCTAGATCTCAAAGCTACTGATTTACTTCTTCCCTTGGCATTTGCTGAATATATGACAAGAAGGAATGATGTTTGAGTTGGAAGATTGCAAATGGTGAAAACTGGTACATCTGAAATGGATACATTGGCTTGCAGATGATGTGATTCTGTTACGAAGATTTCAAGATGGAACAATTGTGTTAATCCACCATCGTTTCCGGCTTCGCACTGCACTACTAAACACTGTATTGTTCTATTTGCTAAAATGCAATGCTTGGGTTCTTCAGGAGGTCCTATTAAATAGCAATGAAATGAAATTATTCAGGATAACAATTTTATTATTTATAAAAACTTCGTTGATGCTTTTCTAATCTGTTAAGTAGACGGGAAACATCCAAAAATACTAAAATTTAATCGACATTTAATCCAATAACTAAAAATTATTCAACTATAATGAGTTTGTTCTATAAATTCTGTGTTTTCGTACAAAGTAACGATTTCAAGTTCTGTAATTTACTTCTGAATATTTCAAAATTCTCTAGAGATTTTAAATGCGAGACTGTAATCATAGTAAGTTTAATCAGAAACAACTTAGATTATTTCCTGTTAATGAACTCTTTTGATAAAAGACATAAGTAAAGGTATAGTCAGAGCAATCTTTGAAAATCTGATGAAATCACCTTGAAAACTTCCTTTAAATGTATATGTCTGTAACCGGTGTTTATTTAGACAAGTCTCACCATCGTGTTTGGTATCGGATTTTCTCCACTGGCTGTAACGTAGACACGCAGTTCTGACAAGAATGATAGACGGCTATGGTAGTAATCTCTTCCTCTTATGTTGTGCCTCCAGGAAATAATGCATGTCAGAAACGCAGATTAGTAGAAGGAAATGAGATTATAATAACAAATTCCAACACCGAAACACACTATCTTAATTATTTACCAGGTATATTTCCTGCTTTTGAAAGGTTAAGATATGTCCTTCAATAACATTACTTCTACTCAAATTCCAACATAATTGTCAACGATAGAGTAAGTTGAACGTTTTATATCGATAAAATTAAGTTATTTATCATGTATTTTCTTTATTTACGATAGTTTTTAATGTAATACAATTTACAGAAACGATAACAGCGTGCTTAAGCTTAATTAAAAATATTCTTCTTTGTCATTTTTAAATAGTAGGTTCATAAATTTTCATGAAGGTTATAAACATCATTAAATAATTATAGTTATGTTCAGATATGATAAATTACATTAAACATCATTAAAACTCGTAATAAATCTTAAATAAATAGGAGGAAAAAAAGAATTACCCGCTGGAATAATTTGAAAACTGCAAGGTTCCTTCTGAAGACCGACAGAATTTGATGCCCAGCATAAAAGAATACCAAAACCCAAATTATCTTCTGGAATTATTGTCGCAATACTTCTAGTCCCATTTGATTTGAACGAATCTATAGGCTGAATGTCTTGTGCTGATCTGTTTAATGCCCATTTGAACGTGACTTCTGTCGGATCGGCATCTACATCACACGTCACACTAACAGCTTCACTCCTAATTACACCATAAACTGAATGACGTGGTGACATACATTTGGGAGCATCTAAAAGATTATTCAAGTAAAGAAAATATCAAACAACTATAATTTTTATTTTATATATACATTTTTATATGTATTTTAAGTTGGCGGAAAAATACAACTTTTTTCCATTTCTTAAATTTTAAATATCTTAAAACTTTTTAAATATTTTAAAATCTTATATTTAAGAAGAAACACGAAAACGCACTAAAAGATATATATTTTTCTGGTTTTCTTGCTGTTAAAATATAAAAAAATGTATATTTTTTTACATATGTACTGTACGTGTTAGGTATCGTCAGGTTAGTCAGTAAGAAAGATAAATAGGAATAAACTCACAATGAACCTTCAGAAACAAATCCTGACTGTTTCCTTTTCCTTCAACGTTTTCTGCTCGACATTGATAATATCCTTGATGTTCTTTCTCCACGGGAGATAGCAATAGGGTATGGTTCTTTATCACTACTCCTAATGATGGACTACTAAACAAAGACTTTCCGTTGAATCTCCAACTCACTTCTGATATGGGCGGATTAGCTTGGATATGGCATATCAATGTGACATCGCTTTTTTCAGTGACAGCTTCCATGTCTTTCCATAAATTATGTGACAAAGTAAGCTGAGGAGGATCTACGAAAGAAACGTTACCTGTAACCTTAAATTTCACATCATCTATAATATTCTCCCATATGATATACAAGACCCTCATTGAATTAATTAAAAAATCACCATTTAAAGAAAATATTTAAAGTAGAGCAATGGATTCATTTTCTACGTTAAATAATTAATTCTGTTAAGAGTTTCTGTATTTAAATTTAGATTAATTAAGATAATATTAAGAGAGAGAGAGAGAGAGAGAGAGAGAGATATTATCTTTAAAGTAAGCTAAATGACAGACTATAGGTTATTAAACAAGATCAGTCTGCTTCGATTAATTCATCTGTCTTCCGATTCATTTATCTAGAAAACATTAAGAATATCGTCTAGTAAACGAGAGAGAGAGAGAGA